GAAACATTGAGAAGAGCAAAAATTCCTTTAACTGGAAAGTTATAAAAGCTTTTCTTTTACATAATGATTTCGGTAGGCCCTATAAAGATCCTTTGAAACTATTAGAATCTGATCATCTTAAAAATATATATATTGGTATCCACAATTTCTGAGTTCTTATTGTAAGGAAAGAGACCACACAGAAAGGACGTAACAATGGTATGGAAACTTAGCGTCCTCTCCAATTGGACTCTTTATTGCAGACTTATTGCTTCCGTGTGTGTGTGTATGTGTGTGTGTGTGTGTGTGTGTGTGTGTGTGTGTGTGTTTCTTAAAAAATCTTTAACTCAACCACATCCCTAAAATTTTTGGCACTCTTTTTAAGCACTGAATCCAAAGCAGGAGAAAAAAATATATAACTTTTAAAAGAAATTATCACAGAACTCTATCAGACTCAGGATTTGTTTCTTCATTATGGAGGTGTGTTGGAAATTAATAATAAAGGCCGATTTACAATCTTTAAAAAAAGTCGGCCGGGCGTGGTGGCTCAAGCCTGTAATCCCAGCACTTTGGGAGGCCGAGGCGGGTGGATCACGAGGTCGAGAGATCGAGACCATCCTGGTCAACATGGTGAAACCCCGTCTCTACTAAAAGTGCAAAAAATTAGCTGGGCATGGTGGCACGTGCCTGTAATCCCAGCTACTCAGGAGGCTGAGGCAGGAGAATTGCCTGAGCCCAGGAGGCGGAGGTTGCAGTGAGCCGAGATCGCGCCATTGCACTCCAGCCTGGGTAACAAGGGCGAAACTCCGTGTCAAAAAAAAAAAAAAAAAAAAGTTTACTCTATTTAAACCAGCCAAAATACCATAAATTATCTCATCTTAATATTTAAATAAATAATAGCCATGTTGAATATTACATTCTAGAACACATAAATTAATTTGGGGGATATTAAAATAGATGAGGTTAACACTTTTGCAACCTAAAGGCTTTTTTTTTTTTGGAAAATATGTGGTTACATGAAGCTGAGGAACACAAGCATCAAATAAAATGAATTCATATAATTTTCTGAAACAATAAAATCTTTGCTAAAAATACACAATAAAAAGAACAATGAATTCTTTATACTCTACAGTCATTGCACTTTCCCACAAATTAGAGTGCATAATTCATGACTCCCTAAAAGAAGCATTTTAAGTTACAGTATGTGTCAAGTAAAAGAAAAGAATGAAAAGTTCCCATACCCTGAAGTGAGAACAGATGGGAATTAGATAAGAAGAGAGAGTGTAGCTTTAGATGACTGACCAAGAAATCTTCCCCAGAGCAGGGCCAAATATACCAGACCTCAGCTTGTTCTGCCTTCCAGCTAATTTCCAAATTAAATCCAAGAGAAATGCAAAGCACCTAGTAGATTAGATGCATGGTTTTTAATTTTTGCAATCATTTATTTCTCTCTGTACATATAAATTATATAAAGAAACCTTAAATAAGTTTAAAAATTATGCCTAATCAATATAAAGTAGTCTTCTAATCACTTTTGTGAGTTTAGCACTATTCCAGACTAAGACTGTTAACAATAAATTTCTGTAAAATTGTAAAATAGGTTTACCGAAAAAAGTAGCAGGCAAACCCAAGATGTGGGCACTGAATTCCTTGCACGAATAGAACCATCTGCCATAAGCAAGAGTTTTGTAAATAAATGATGACTCCATCCTATATTCATTCTTTTCATATTTGATCTGTACACTAAAATAGCTTTAAATATAATGCCAATACTACTTCTTATAAACAAAAGTTCCCTTATTTGATATTTAATTTTATATAGCATAATATAATTTTTCTATCTAAAAATACAAGTTATAAACTTAAAAGAATACTCTCTATAGTACTGTATTTGCGTCAATATTTTTAATATAGGTAATAATTTGAAACTTGAATGAAACAGAATAGTTCATATTTTCAGGCGTTTTCAAATTTTAATGTGTTTTAAAACAATAATTTTACTATTAATAATAATTCTATTAAAATATTTTAAAAGCAATTTTGTAGGATATACTATGAGCTTTTAAAAAGCTACCAGATATCTTCTATCAAAAATCAGCTGTGGAGCAATTTCTTTTTTCATTTGCTTTGACATAAAACTTGCATTTGTTGAAACAGTAACTTCACATTTTAATCAAAAGTACTCAGATTTATACATCATTCTTAGCCACGATTTAAAACATCTTTTCCAAGACAACAATGATAAGTTGTCTGTATACATTTTCTCTGCCATCCCAGAAAGTTGGCTTTCAATATCTTAACCCTATTTTGTCTTTTTGAACCTGACAAAATACACCCCAAAAAAGAAATAGAGAAATATGAATCATCCTAAGTGGTGAAAGCAAAATGAACCTCAAGCTTAGGTGATTTCAGTTTAAACAACCCAAGGCACTGGTAATTTGATACAGGTTTCACTTATAATGTGGAACAAGGCTTTCCATAGAGAGGATGCTCAATACAGCATAATGCATAGTTAAATATGTGCATGAAAGAATTACTGAAAATTGTATTTTATTACTCAAAATTATATGCAAAAATTACCAAAGAAAAAGAAAAAAAAATTTTCAAGTGTCTAGTTTTCTTTTTTTCTAATCTTCCTTATCAGTAAATAGAAGCCATAAGAGGCAAACATTTAGGGATATCATGCTCATTAAATTTTATAAAAGTTCATTTTCTATACTTTATGCAAATAAAATCTGAATTAAGCAAAAAATGCTGTGGACATTTAAATTTCTCACATTAATAAATTCAAATTATCCAAAATATTAAATATAATTCCTCCATCAAATATTACACTATTGTGTTAAGTCATTTTGTGGTTAGCTGGTTGAATAACTTTACCATGAAGAACAGAACATTTTATAGTGGATTCAAAACTTCTATTATCTTTCTAGTGGAAGGCAGGGGATTTTGAATAAAGAGTGCATATGCACACACTTAACGATTATTCAAGACTCCTGTCTAGTCCCAGATATTTCACTGTCTTTATAAAATGGGTAAGTCACAAACACTCTGGATGACACTCATCTGTAAAAAGAATACAGTTGGTTTATATTAACATTTCTCAAACTATAGGCTATGGACACACGAGGATCTATGAACACATTCTTGGGAGTCTGACAATATTACAAGATGGTATGTTTTAGTGTCTTCATATTATTATATAAATATGATTATATACTGATAATCTCATTGACAATTTTTACAACTGATTATTATCACATAATTTCGGGATCTGAATTTGATATTATTTTTACATTTTATGTTAGTTATAGTGACTATGTTTACTTCTTAATATAGTGTTTCTCAAAATGGGATTCACTGATGTATTCTTGGCACCTGAGAGACATTTTTCTATTAACACGAGACCATGTATTATTAAGACCAAGAGATACTAGATTGGATCGTCTTTCTAATTCCATTATAAAAAATGTTGTATTCGATTGCAGTCTACCAATACCTTACAGCAATCCAATTTTAAAAGCACACTTAGAGAAAGCAAACTTCACAAGAGGAGTTACAGTATCTAATTCCAACTAAGTTCTACTTTTTTTCTTTTTATAATTATATGCAAATGAAACTTTCACAATATCAATAAGCAGTGAGCAAAACATAGCAAGACTGTCAAAGTTTCAATTAGCAACAACCATTATCCTTTCAAGTGGTTTAGTAAACTACGTATTAACTATAAGTCAGAAAACCTAGTTTCTTTTTCCAGTTTTGCCCCTGGCTTGAAATGGTTGCCCCAATCTTTGTATTACGCTACTCAATGTATAAAACACACAATAAATACTAGGTACTCATGTTATATAATAATAATCAGTATGTTTTAAATTTTAATTGACATATAGTAACTAGGAAAGAGCAAATCAACAAAACTCAAATATTTGCTTATTATCAGTGATTATATATAAAATAAAATATAAATTTTGTTTTTGACTATAGGGATTACTTTGATCTAGTTTTTAAGACATTTATGTTTAAATTGGCTTCATCTAATTTACAAATATTTGTAATTTTGCAATTAGCACTTAAGGTATTTCATTGGTAAAAATCATTGTTTGCTGGTTAAACATCTAAAAAAAAACCATTATCCATATATCATAATTCTGTAACAATATAGTAAGCCATATACTCTTAAAGGAATTCTCTATTCATGTATCTTAATAATTAAAGCATCTCCATACCAGTCAAGAGAAGTAAAGTGTGTGCAAACTGCGAAGATAATCTGAATTTAAAATACACACGCCTTCCATTTAAAATATGGCTACTTAATTTTCAATTTAAAAAGTAGGAAGAATGAAACTACCTTAAATTATCTAATGTGTGTCTATGATATAAATTTGAATACAGATTTTAGGCAAAACTCTCCAGAAAGAAGAGTATAAAATTTTTTCTTGATATGTGGCATCTTGAGCATTGTTTTAAAAAAGATGTTTTTAAACAATTTCTAAAGCATTTCCAATACCATAGCATAATTTGAATAATTAACATAAATAATTTTTAAATTACTTATATTTAAATTATTGAATTTTGAGAGATTCATTTTTTGAATGTGACGGCTGAGAAAATCTAAGATCAATTTCACAATCAACCAATTCCATAACAACCTTAGGTCATATAAACAGGGAATGGAAACAGATTCAAATAACATTTTTCTTTTCCTGTTAACCTAGCAAACATAAGCAAAGTTAATTTAACAGACTCATTCCAAACTTTCTTCTTCCCATAAAAAATTTTTCAGCTTTTATTATTTTAAGATATATTTTCTGGAAGATTAATTAGACCATTAACTAATGAACAGTAAAGTACGGTCAGAATAAAAAATTTCTAAAAAATTTACTTATCACAGTATATGAAAGCATGCACTACATTTCCATAAAATGCATGCTTTCATATACTCTGACAGGTAATTTATTTTCTTCTGGAATTGGCATGTGCAATTGTACAAGCATTGAAATCAGTTCCAAGAATTACCCTACCTGAATTGTAGAGCTGATCTCCGATGCAAAGCCGCCTGTCAAGGGAGCCTCGTGACTGATTAGCAGTCGCCCTGTTTTGATCACAGACTGAAAGAGCAAAGGAAAACTTGATGTTAAAAAGAATATCTATTTTATGAATGTCTACATAAAGAATATCCCTTTATGTATATGATGGTGGTTTTAATTCAGTAATAAAAATTATATCAATTCAATAAATAGTGTAAAAATCAGTAATTCAATTGTATGCCAGTAAGTTACAATTCCCTTTTGACAGGTCAGTCTTCTGATTTTTGTACTGTAAAAATTTTTTCAATATGAAAATATTTTCAGTAGAAAAGAAAAATGAGATTTGTAATTCTACATATGCAATTAAAAATGCATATCCTTTATTATATGATACATTTGTGTTATAAACTGAAATACCATATTTCATATTTCAATGTCAATATTTTTCTTCATGTTACAGAGTGAAAGTGCTTTTTATTCATTTTGGACATGTTTGGATATAAATAACAATAGCCTTAATAAATACTGTTTTATGGAAAAGGAAAACACAAAAATAGTACGTGAAAGCCAAGAAAAAAATTCAGCAGTAAGAAATCCTTGCAAAAGTAAAATGGTTAGAATCCCGTTTGTTAATGTGCTCTAAAATCTGGCTGATGACCCACTCCATTTTAAGGGGGGAAATGTCATAAACAATGAGTACGTATTCTCAACATTTGTTAAATGTGGTTATCCACACTGTGCGTGATATACTCTGCACAATATTAAATTAAAAAGTTTAGCAATGATATCATAGCAGGATGCCAGCTGTGCTGGCAGGTAAAAACTATTAAAATCAATGGGTTATTGTTTAAAATATGTTGAAAAATTACCATAGTACCAAAGAGAAATAGCAGTTTTGTCTTTAGGTTTTCTTAAAATTTGATATCACCTTTATTAAAATCTGTTACTATTTCATATATACAAAATAAAATCTTTCAAGCAAAGATATGTATTGAAATAAAACATTTCATTCATTCTAGGTAATTATAGTTCAGAATTTTTAAAGTATGCAGAAGTTTTAACCAGCATATGTTAAATCCCAAGATATGGCCAGTAGCCATGACAAAAATAAGTTAACCGTATCTACTAAGTAAATACTGGCTGAAGAACATAAAATTTTATGAACACCTTAATGAATACCACTCCACCACCAGTGAAATGCTAATCTTAGGATATTTGTATTGGGCTTTCTATGATTGTGATTAATTATGCCATTTGTAAGATTCACAAATTAAATTTCAATGTACCTGTACAGAAATATAAAAAAAAACAAAAGTATTCCACAATCACAAAACAACAAATGTAGTCTTAAAGTGTTTCTAAAAGATGCCTTGACTTTAAGAATAAACAATGAAAAAAAGGTTGACAGCCAAAATCCATACAAGCTATCTAGTGCATCTTAAATTTCTAGCAGATAGAAACTTCTATAAAAATGTTGTTACCCTAATACCCTACACAACCAAATTGGTCCTTTTTGTCTGAACTCAGGCCTATCCAAAATCAAACAACAACCTTTAGAATAATCGCTGAAAGCCACCAAGCAACCAGGGCAGATGTCCTATGTATCCAATAGCCTATGCAGATGGCCACAGAGTACAGTGGTGAAATCAAGCACAGATGATCAAGGACAAAAGCTTCCAACATTTGAGGTTGATGCAACATGATTTGTAAGCAGATGAAATCTGGAGCCCTTCAGCAGAGGAATGACTAAACAGACCAATATGCATCAACACAGTAGAGTATTATGCAGCCATGAAAAAGACTGAGGACATGTAAAAACACCCATGACAAATTAATTGGTAAATGAGCAAGTTGCAGGACAATATAATCTCATATTTTGCTGAAACAACCACCACAACAGTCAGCACACCAAGAAACATATCTTTTCAACATGTACATCGAGCCAACACATACAAACAGTCTAGAAACTTTCATACTGAAATATCAAAAACTGTTTCTCCTGAGGACTCCCAGTGAAGGAAGTATAGGACAGAGGCTTTTACTTTTTGCTTTATGTATGTTTAGATCACTGAAAGTACTCTAGTAAGTCTAAAATAAATAAAAATAAAGGGAAAGTCCTTGAATTGGTGCCAAGGATTTAAAACTACATGTTATTTTGTAGTTATAGTCTTCTCAAAAAAATGTAATAATGTTTTTGTGATATCTTAGGACTAGCCTCAGAAACAAGGGAATCCTGAGATCCCAAACTCCAGAAGCAAATAAGCACACTAACGACGCAGGGAGTCAGTCTTCCCATCCCATTCTGTGTGATCTGCTTCAGGTCAGGACCATATCCAGGTCATCACTTGGTCCTCAAAGTTGTTAGATTTCTCGATAAAATGGCATCGGACAAGTTCAAGTTCTGCAACACGTCTGTATGTGCATTACAAAAATTGCATGTTCTCAGATGAGGAGTTAGGCAGACAGATATGAAAATAATTGCAGAAATTTTGAAAACACCAAGAACTACAGGAAAAAACACAATAAAAGTAATCATACTTTTAGTTTGTGGAAATTGCCATTAATCTACAAACAAGTGGAACAAAAATAGTGCTGCAAGAAGACAGGAGTCAGAAGTAACAACCACAATTATAAACGATGATTGCCACAAAGATTGCTATGTGCTAGGCTCTGAGCTGAGTATTTTACATTGAGTTACTTCACTTAATTTGGAAAGCACTTATTATTCATTTTTGCTTCTTAAAAATCATTGCTGATATCTAAAAGTATTAAAACGTATTGTTATGCCAAAATTCTGAAAATGCAAAAATTTAGAGTACTGATATTTTCAGTCACACTCAATTAGCATATAATAAACTGTCTGACAACAGTTCAATCATTTTGTGAGGTACAGTAGAAATTTAACTTGTTATATATATGCTTTTTAATCATTCACAGTTTTAATTTACTAAAATTCCTGAAGATTGCTTTTCTATGCTACTTTGGAAAATATTAACACTGTTAGTATTGTGAAAATGAGATCAGCATAAATCTACAAAACAAGAGAATGTTACTCTTTGTATTCTATTTTAATTAGATACTCTGATTAAAGTATATGTTTCTGTCCACTTTAACAGACTTTTAATGTTCACATATCTAGGCAAAATAATATGTGACTGTCAAGAAATTTCCCTAACCATGTTTAGCATTTTTATACACTTAGTAAAAATTAATACAGTGTGTTCAATGAAGATAACCATTAACCTTTTTAAGATAAATAACCATAGATACAATACTAATAGTTTAAAAAAATATTTTCTTCCAAAGAAAATAAATTTTAAAGTTTTTAAATTTTCTTCTGAGATAAATTCATCACTTGAAACAAATTAAAAGTGTGTAAACAACTTTTCAGGATGAAAGCTGAACCTATCAAAGCCAGGAAAGATCACGTAAGGCTGGATTTGCAAGTATCTGCTTCTCCAACTCTTTACCACTAAGAACTGTTTCTAGATTCTGACCTATGGCAGATGGAGCACCAATGAGTTAGAGGTGGCAAATGACATCAGACAAAGCTAAGCCAATTAAAGATCAGGACTCTGAATAACTCAGGACACTCTGTGTCCTCTACCACAAAACAAAAGGACTTTGTTTCTTGCAAGGGCTCTAAAAGATTTGTCAAAAAAGCAGTAAAAACAGTCCTGAAAGGCTCGTAGTTTTCTCACCACTTCAGTTAGTCATTCCCTCCAACAGAGCATTAGTGGCATGCTATTACAATAGGAGCAATCGAAATCCCAACCCTGTACACACAGCATTGCCAAAGGCAGATATATCAAGGCATCATGTTCTGCTGGAACCCTCAGCTTGTTTCTTGTTTGGCCACCCCATAACTTTTCCCCATTATCCATTTTCTACCCAAATGTCTTTACAAAAGGCCATAAATTAATCTATGCAGAATGTCTAGCACAGTGCTGCAAACATTGTAGACACTCGAGAAAGTTAGCTAGATAAAAAAAATCCATTAAAAATTATTTAACCTTATTATGCATATCCTCTTTTATTTATGCTATTGCATTCTTAGCACAATCCATTTTCAAGGTAGTGCAAAAGCATATACTTGACCACATCCAAGAACAATTCAATGATGAAGTAGCAGGCTCCAAATTGATGATATTTTAATGTAGTTTTAACAAAAAGGTATCTGTGGTAACAGGAGAACTGCTAAGTTATATTCTGTTAAAATGACTGCACAGCCTTTGGCTGCCCAAACATCAGACATATGTTTTAGTGAATATAGCCTTTAAAGCTTTTAACGCAATCCAACCAGGAAAACTGTTAAGTTGTCATTCTAGGAGAACTGATAAAGAAACGCAAACCACAAAGCTTCCATATGCCTGAAAGTGCAACATCGACATTTGAAAAGCAAAATATTTATCATCTATCTATCTATATTTTTTATTTCCTCCTCAAAATCTATAGCAAGATTGTCTACCTACAGACAATTCATCCTTACCTACACCAAGTACAGCAGCCTATTTCTGACTGCTAATAAGATAAGGTTAAAAAAAAAAAGCAACATTTTTGACAGGCAATTTATAGCTCTTTTAGTATCTTCTATCTGAATACACAGTTAATTAAAAGCAAAAGAAACACCAAAGCTAGTCTGCCTCAGTTCCTTCCAAAATCAAGAGAACCTCATAAATGTGATGTACACATATAAATACAATTAATGATAAAATCACAGCACATACACTTCATTAATCAAAAGCATATTATTTATGCAAACTACAATCATTAAGAATAAAATTTTGATGAACCTCAATTATCAATGCAAATGAGTTAGATACATTTTTTTGAGATGTTTTCTTGTTTGGTAGCCAAAAGCATGTAACAAGTTAGCCAGAAAAACATCATAATTACTCACAGATTAACAAAGGTATTAATATATGCCTAGCAATTTATTAATCAGCATGACCTCCTCTGATATTCCACTGGAGAAAAACCAGTGCTAAACAACAATAACAAAAAAAAAAAAAAAACAGTCCTGAGTTTCAGAGAAAGTTCTGAAAACTCCATTCTGGCAAAAATGCTGGTGATGGCATTAC